AAATTGTACCCCATCTTTGATGTCATTGGGAAAAATTGTGACCCATGGGAGGTATTCTGCCCCTTCATTGGTGTCAATGGGGGGAATTATGCCTCATTGTTGGTATCAGTGGAGAAAAATAGTGCCCCAAAGGCCAGATAAAAGTAAGTGAAGGACCGAATCTAGCCCCCGGGCCGCAGTTTGGAGACCACTGGTTTAACTCATCAAACTGAGAAACAAGGATTGTTGGAGAACAAAAAAGGAGTTACAGAAAAGGGTTTTAGAGACAGGGCACTATGCCCTTTCATTTATAAAATAAATGTCCAAATGGATAAGCATCTTATATAATATTAAATCATACAGACAAAGCAAGGTTCAGGCCCCTGTCTGGTCTTTACTGGTGTCCAGTACTTCTGTGGAAATGTTTCTTCCTTCCACTGCACTGCTAGTACAAGCTGTGCCAACCTTCGGCCACAGTTCTGGTATGCCAAACAATGGGTACCAACAACCTATGGAGGACTCAGAAATGTTGCATCAACTCCCTCTAAAGTTCACTATACACATGACACTTTCTGTACATTTTTTTTAGATTTACCAAAATGCAGGACCTACCAAAACAATATATTGAGTCTACATCCATTCAAGTAGACTTGCACAACAGAGCTGTGTGTAGATCCAAAGGATACTGAACAACTAGACTGTGTAGCTATAAGACAACCTGTATTTTGACTATGCACCACCCCTTCACTGCCTACCTGCTCTAAACCCTCGTTCCAGTGATCTAGTGGAGCAGGGCTTCTAGGGATAGGGAAGCTTGTGACTCTCCCCCCCCCTCCCAAGCACCACCACTAGACATTGCTCAGGCCCCAAAATCACACAAGGATCACAAAGGCAAGAGAGGGCAGTGATGTAAGTCACCAGTGAGCTCTGACACCATACAACATAGAAGCCTAAAAAGGGTGTAAAAGTCAGAGAAAGAACAAAAGCAGGTAAGTATTGAGTAGACAAAGCGACAGTGCTTATCTCTTTAAAACATTTTTTTTTTTATATTAAGCAAATAAACATGTCCAATGTACAGTAGACACAATAAAGTGCAAGAAAATATATTTCACACCAGTTGTTAGAGTCAACTGTGCTTGGTGCCTGATTGACCTATGATGAGCTCATGGGGCATGCAAAGATTGACTTTTAGGGTTTTTCGTAGGTTTTAAAAATGGCTTGGGAAGAGTGGCCCGCTGACAATGTATGAACAGATGCCTTGTGGTATCAGCGGTATAGTAGCTAGGTCAGTTTGCTAAATACACGCTCACTGTATCTGAAGGATCTGCAGAATATCTGAAACCACAATGCACAACAGTCATCTGATGTCCAGCCCCATATTCAGCTAGTTCCTTTTCTTTGTTCTTGGTTCTAAATACTGCTCTATTGTCTCAGATTCCTCTCTGGCATTCAATTTTATCTTCTTATAAACAGCTCAGCCACTTTTTGTGCCTTGCTCTCTCTCCCTTACCTGAGTGTTTCCACCCTCCGGACAAAGAGTGGCCATTGCTGTGACCATGGAAAGCTTATCTACTCATGCACTGCACACAGCCAGATATCATTCCAGATTTGATCTGTCATATTAAAGTGGACCTTCCATGGCAAATGGAAGATAAGATTTTTGACAGTTCCTCACCTTGCCAAGCCATCTGCAAGCAAACCGTTCACCCAAATAAAAACAAAATACTTTGGGCCTCCAACGTTCCAAGAGAAATGGTTGAGGTCACCCTGCCTTCTAGCTAAGCAGGGAGCTTGAATCAGATGAAAATGCACTCCAAGAGATTGCATACTTCTGGTATTTCGAGCTCCAAGCTCTGCTGAAAAGCATTGTGACTTCACCCCAGAGACGTCAGAGGCAGGGATAGTTCCTTTTTTTGGGGGGGCAAATGGTTTGTTTGCAGATGGCTTTTTAAAGCCCTATGTTCTGTGGGAGGGGGGACAAAAAGCTGTCAAAAAAGCAGACATTCCATTAACCATGGAAGATTTGCTTTAAAAAACTTTACCAACAACTGATTGATATCATTTCATCATTGAGTTTAGTGTCTCTTACCATACATAACTGTCGGGAAAATCGAAAATCTGCTCTTCAGATGGGTCAGATCTAAATCTAACTAAAATGTGTGGCCAGTTTAAATTAGACCGATTCAAATCTCTTAACTGTAACATGTGATTTCATTTCATTTAAATCTGCAGCTTTCATTAAAATAATACCTGGTGATTCTGCCTTGAAGGTCCTTGTTCAAGCACTTCCTGCTTTGGGGTGACAACAGTCTCCAAAGTATACTCCTACATTGTTGCCCTTGTCACATATGCGACCATGCTGACACACTTTTTTGAATAAGAATTGTACCAGGAAGCCGGCTTAGAGCCATGATATGCAACTGCTGCAGTGAGTGCATCTAGAGAGGAAGTGGCTAAAGGAGGCTTAAGGAGATCAGTAGCACTAGTATAGCAAAATAGGATGAAGCAGAGTGAAAACAGTAGTAGTATATCATCAATAAACCTCTATAAAAAATGTCACCTGGATAGGATTTGATCTACTTTAAGAAAGAGGGGTAGTTTAGTGTGCTGAACAATCAGATCTCAGAAGACAACTGTTTACACTTGCAGTTGAAGGGGCAGTAAAAGTAAACAGTTGAGCAATGTTTTTATTGCTCCACTCAAACAACCCCCCCTAAGCTGCAAAGGCAGCTGGACCGCGTCGTACGTGCCATGCAAAAATTATACCCCCCATCATGTTTGGTGAGCATTATCGTTGCCAAATGTGTCCCATTCAAATAAACCAAGCCACACTGCAATCACTGCAACTGTGTGCAGTGAACTCAGTTGTGGAGCAGTGTTTCAGACTTAAAGGGGTATACCAGGTGCTGAAGAAGTGACATATTGCCCCCCCCCCCCCCCAGCCACCTGGGAAACACCCTCTGATAAGCAATTCACCACAGACCATCAAGTGCAAACAAGCCCTTAAAGATCCTGCAGATATGAACCCAGAGACAACAGTGATTCAGCTGGTCAACAGCAGGCAAATGGGACATTCCAGGCTAGTTTAAGTGTGCCAGTTACCAGTACATAGTGGGGGCTATCATCAAAAGCTCTAAATTGATATTCCAGAAAATGCTACTTGCATTCCAGGCGCAATAGGTGCTTAGTGCCACAGTCCTCAATCTGGTCACTAGCTACAATTGCACTGGAGAAATAGAAAGTAAAATAGCTTCAATATGAACAAGAGATTGGCACAATCTTCTTAAAGAGTAAATCCACCACAAACGTATATTTCAGATATCGTCAGACCACCCATTTGCTTTCTAAACCTCCCATGGAAATCCAAATGGAACAGCTACATGTTTCTGATCTGGGGTGACCTCTTCACCACTGCAATCACAAGTGAGCGAAGACGGGAGTTCAGGAGCAGAAATCTGCTCCTGGAGCTCCAACAAGTAAGATAAACTAAAGGAAAAATAAAAGATAGGAGTGAGACTTCAAAATAGTCATGACACCTGGATGAAGCTGGGAAATCAGTAAAGAGATCTTATTATCATAGACCCTGGAAGATACTGTAACATAAACTGAAGGAGAACTAAGGGGTGAGATACCTTCATGTTAGCGATGGTAAGTGGGTAGAGTTGGGAACTCAGGTTTAGAGATCTCAAAACTGGAGTCCCAAGAGGATACTGTAACATGTAAATAGAACTAGAGGTAGAAGTGAGATGCCTTCACAACAACCATAGCAAGTGGGCATGGCTGGAAACCTAGGTGTAGAGATCTTACCAATGAATTCCCAGGAAGATACTGTAACATTGACAAAAGGAGAACTCAGAGGTAGGCAATGAGATGCCTTCACAACAACCATAGTAAGTGGGCAGGGCTGGGAACCCAGGTGTAGAGATTGTACCACTAAGAGACCCAGGAAATTATTATATGTAAAATAAAAGATGTTCCAATAACAGAATTATCTTTTTTATAATCACAACAATTTGGCACAACTGGGGAATAGATCTCATGACTGCAGTATCGAGACGTAACAAATTAATTTGACCTGATTCCCCCAAAGAAAAAAAACAGTATTGGAGGAACTTGCCCTTTAATTAACATTTCGATACTCTATGACCATCACTTGATTTGCAAATAAAATGGGTTACTCCATGTAATATTGGAACATGAATCCCTTTATTATTCACTGCTGCGTCAGAGTTTCTATTATGTGACACTTTAATACGCTATCACCCTGTATATTTTTCTGCTTTTTAAAAAAAAAAAAAAAAAAAAAAATCACAAACATTCTTTTTTTTTTTTTTGGCAAAAGAATAACAGACATCGGCAGCCAGGATTTGCGCTGGAGTTCCTTAAATGGCTATAGATGCAAAATGAGTCAGCGCTCTTTTGCGGAGTACAGTCAAGGTAAATAAAAAAAGACATTGCTGCTTTCATAAACGTCTGAAGCCAAGCAGTAAAAATTTGGCTTTAATTAATCCTAAACACGTCAGAAGAGACAAAACAGTTCTCCGAAAAAGGACATCTTCCAAAACCGGTGCCAGCATTCCGAAACAATAAAATCCAAAAATGTAACGCTTGTAGAGTATAGATTGGAGTTCTCTCATCGTATGGTAATGAGATACTACGATAAGGTCTTCTACTTATTCAAGGACGCTTTTTTTCTATCTATTAAAAAACAAAAAGAAAACAAAAACAAAAATACTCTAACTGGTATGCACCGCGTTGTTAAATATATATATAGTTTTGTTCAAGTTGTACCCCAAGACTTGCTGACAGGACTTGCAACACTTTTCGTCCTGCTCCGATCCATTTTCACCATGCTGCGACCTATGTGTGGTCAACTAAGCTTAGACTCCGAATCGGAGTCGATTTTGCCTATATTTCGGCACCATCCCACAGAGAGAATCCAACTCGGCAAGGACTCTCGGCCCATACTGAATGTTTTTTTTAATAAAATTTTCTTGCTCGTCATCAGGCTGAGCTGGTCACTAGTTAAAGTTACAGCAGTTCAAATAGCTGATGCTCTTTCCCTCTCCGGGCAAGGAAGAGTCCACATTGTTGACCAACGCGTTTTGCCGGGCCTCGCTGATCAAGCGGCACGCTAAGTCCAGGAACAGTTTTTCCACATTGTCCGACTCTTTGGCAGAGGTTTCCAGGTAATACATGTTTTGGGAGCCTGCAAACTCTTCAGCTCTTTGCTGGGAGACTTCTCTTCTCTCGGCCAGGTCTATTTTGTTCCCTGTAATGATATCAAACAGACATGTGCATTAGGGATGGCAGGGAGCTGGCTGAACAACTGTGTGGGTGGCAGAATGCGGGCATTATCTGTAATGTGTGTTCGACAAAAGAACTCAAGGACAAATGTCTATCACTGACGTACTGTACATGGACATAATTGTGTTTCTGAAATTGGAACATATGGACAAGTTTAACAATATTAAAGGAAACTACTGAATATAGACTTCCTTTGTTCAACTTCTTTTTTTTTTCTTTATTCTATAATTCAAAGAGAACACCAGTGAGATGTACAAGCAAGTATACATGAAAAAAATAGATGTTTTCCATTAAAGCTAAAGTGTAACTCCAAGAATGATTTTTATTGCTAAAGTACATTGGTCCAGCTTGGAACGGTGTAATTACTGTGGAAGCCCACCCCACATACAGCGATAGCCGAGTGGGTTCCCCTCTGCATACTAAACACAGAGAGTCGCTCACTCAGCAACTCCTGCATTCAGAATTTGCCTTGCATTTTTTTCAGTACAAGGCGTTCTGTGATTGGACGAAGTGAAGAGTAGGGGCGGATAATGTCTCAATACTAACCAGACTGTGAAAAGGTCAGAACCCCTGTTAGGTTTTTATTGCTGTCTGTGTCACTGCTGGGTAGATTTCCAATAATATAAATTGTCATTAAACAGGAATGGAAGGAAGGGAGGGAGACACGGTGTTATGGTAACAACTGTAGCACTACCCCCTTAGGGAATGCTGATGAATTTGGGTCCACCTATAGCCTGCACAGCCAGTCATTCAGTATTTCCACACAAGCTTTAATCTGGAGACAGAAACCATTCCTTGAGTGGTGCTTTTGTTGTTTATTGAGGGGATTAGAACTTGGATAGGGTAAGGGGGTTTAGGATGCCCAAGGGAACAATATCTGAGGACAACTTCCTGAATTATTCACCAGCTTCTCTTCTCTGATGCAGTCTCTGATGGAGTGCTAGCCAGCATCTCCTGGTTGTACCATCACAGACCCTAGATTAACTCCTCTTTACCCAGCAATCTGCAGACTTTCTTCCTGTCCCTTTAATTGAGGTGAATAGTCACTAGTAGGGGGATAATCTGGTTTCCCACCAGAGTGCTCCTTCCCCTATCCACCCAGGTGGTGTAGGTGTACTCACTCAGATCCTCTCCTGTACTGCTTGCAGGATCGCTGCTGCTATCAGTCTTATCAGCTATCAGCTGGGCTGCTCCTTCCCTGCCATACAGGTGGTTCTCTCTCAGGGAGCAAATGAGTCATGAGTTTTCCTCCTTTCCAGCTCCAGGCTCGCAGGAAGGCCCCATCCCACTAGGCCTCCTGGCAGCCTTCCACCTCCAGCCTCACATCTTCTTACTCCTTCTTCCACCCAACTCCTCCACTCCTACTACTGAGAAGGCTCTTACAGTATAAAGGGAGTCCCAGCCCCTTGCCAAACCTTTTGTTAGAGATTGGATGAGGTTACTCAAGAGTGCAGCCAGCCACTCCTCAGATCCTACCAGTGCCTCAAAGGCCCTCCTCCGAAAGCCTTAGAGCAGGGGGAAATTCCAAAGGGGCTGGCCTACTGAGTCTTTCAGCCCTGACCACGATTTGACCCCTCTGGCTATCACACCTGAGCTGCTAACCAGCTCCTGACTAACCATTAGGGTCTAGCTCCCCCTAGCTGCACCAGGCGGGTGCTACACAACTATGTAAGAGATGGACGTAATTTACTTTAGTGAGATCTTCTCTCACTTTCTGTTGTGCCTACGAGAAAGAAAGGAAGAAAAAAAATCACCCAAATAGGACAATGAGAGCAAAAAGGAAAAACTTCACTGGGGTTTTAGCAAGAAAAGTTTTAGTGTTACCTATACCACGGGTCTTGAATTAAAGTTCACGGAGGTCCAGTCAGTAAAATATTCTTCCAGCAGAGGTCTAAATCTCATATTTGCGCTATAACTCATCATAGCCCCCTTTACATCACAGTCCCCTCTTTACATCAGTGTCCCGATTCCCCCCTTCACATCACAACCACCCTATACAGTACCGTCCTCCCTTTGCATCAGTGTTCTCAGCCCTCCTTCCACATCATAGCCCCCCCTTTACATCAATGTCCTCAGACCCCTTTACATCAGTGTCCTCACACCCCCTCCCCTTTACATCACAACCATCAACCCTCTTACCATCACAGTCCCCCCCCCTTTAAATCACTGTCCACAGTCCTCCCTGAGAGATTGTGTCTGCATTCCTATGTGACTCAGTGTGGTGTGTAATTTTTAGACCTGCAATAGATGGCATACACAGAACATTTTGAACACAGTACATGTGCAAAGCACATGGGTTTCCCACACTGCATTTTGGTGTAATGGAGCTCTTCTTCACATCACAGTCCTTCACACAGATCCCTCTTCACAGACTCTTCACAGTCCAATCCCCTTTACATCACAGTCCTTCACATTCTGGTGTGAATGATCCCTTACATCACAGACTTTTCACAGTCCAATCCCCCTTTACAGCACTCCCACACGGTGTCCTCAGTTCCACTGCACATCATAGTCCCTCTTGACATTGTAGTCCATTCACATCAAAGTCCCCTTGCAATCACATCCCCCCTTCCCCTTTCCTTGAATCATAGTGCTCCTAGCATTCACATTTCCCCACTATCACAATCCCCCTTGCATTCATAGCCCCCTCTCCCTTACATCACAGACCCTATTTCAATCACAGCATCCCCTGCACAGTCCTACCTTAACACAGGGCAGAGGCACTTATCAGACTGGGTCTACTCTTCCCAGTTAGCTGACATCCTCACAGCAGGGCAGGGAGCATGGAGATGGGGTAGGTCTAGACAGAGGGCGAGAGCTTCCCAACTTATTATGTTCACAAGTGGCTGACTACCCGCTTGTTAATTTGAAAATATTCCAGCCCTATGTGCAGATCTGCAGTACCTCCCATCTCCTGCTCTGCTGTGAAGATGACAATGGCAGTCGGGTGGGAGACCTGGGAGAAAACACCCAGCTGCTAAGTGGCATGACCGTTGTCTGGACAGGACTGTCACTCAGTCAGGGTCTGGACCACAGTCCACAATTTAGTGATCCATGACCTATACTATAAACTTGATACACTGCATAAATGTGACTCCACCTCCAAGAATCTTGCCTTACCTGCAACCACAGTGATGTTCTTATTGCTTGAATAAATGTGATTCCACCCCCAGGGATCTTGACTAACCCACAGGTACAGTGATAACCTTATTGCTTAAATATATGTGATTCCATCCACAAGGATCTTGACTTACCCACAAGCACAGTTAAGACCTTGGTGCTTGAATAAATGTGACTACACCTCCAAGGAACTTGACTTCCCATAAGCATGGTGATGACCTTACTGCCTGAACAGATGTGACTCCACCCCCAAGAATCTTGACTCACCCGCAAGCACAGTGATGATCTTATTGCTTGCATAAATGTGATTCTACCCCCAGGGATCTTGACTTACCCAAAAGAACAGTGATGACCTTGTTTCTTGAATAAATGTGACTCTACCCCCAAGGATCTTGACTTACAAGCACAGTGTTGACCTCGATACCTGAATAAATGTGACTCCAACTCCATGGATCTTGACAAATACACTGGATACAGGTGACTCCACCCCCAAGGATCTGGACTTACCCACAAGCACAGTGATGACCTCATTGACTGAATAAATGTGACTCCAACTCCACAGATCTTGACAAATACACTGGATACAGGTGACTCCACCCCAAAGGATCTTGTCTTACCCACAAGCACAGTGATGACCTCATTGACTGAATAAATGTGACTTCAACTCCACGGATCTTGACAAATACACTGGATACAGGTGACTCCACCCTCAAGGATCTGGACTTACCCACAAGCACAGTGATGACTTCGTTGTTGGCATATTGCTCTATCTCTCTCAGCCATTCTGGAAGGCACCGGAACGATTCCTCACAGGTAATGTCGTAGGTTAATATCAAGGCATTGGCACTGCGGTAATAACTCTGAGTTATGGAACGGAACCTCTCCTGCCCCGCCGTGTCCCATATCTGGAGCTGCAGAACACAAAAAGTGAAGACAATGTAAGCACTGAGACATCCATTGCAACTTCTCTCGGAAAGCGCTGCTTTAGTGCAAACAGCAGCAAATGTAACATAAACCTGTGAATTTTATTGAAGAATTTCCACTTGCAACATCGATATGTAAGTGCAGAAGCTGTAGCTTCACAGGACCATATATACCTATTGAATTTTATACATAAAGACATTATTTTGGGGTAAGATGCTATGCCTTTGTTAATTAATTGTATGCCTAGACTTTTTATGCATTTAAAGTGTAAGTAAACATTAAAGAAAATGTTCATTTCCCCCCCTTCCCCAAAGCACCACCGCCATGTTGAGGGCATGTGGCCTGGTATGGTTCAGGAAGGGGGCGTCCGCTTGCTCATTCCACCCCCTTTGCTGACCTGCCAGGCTGGCAGGCCAAGCGGTCCTGTGTGGATTTTGGGGGGGGACCCCCACGCCATTTTTTTCAAAATCCATACCAGACCTGAAGGGCTTGGAATGGATGGGGGAGGGACCCCACACGTTTAAAAAAAAAATAAAGTTTCAGCTGTCAGCGAGGAAAATTAAGAAGAATAAAGAATTAATTAAAGAATGTTTTTAGTAGCTGTGCGGTATCTTACCTCATACTCCAATGCAGTAAGATGCCGCTTAGTGAACTGTCCCCTCTGTTCGAAGTTGGCATTCGAACTTTTGTTATGTTCGAATGTTTGGCTGGGGGTGTTCGGCTCATCACTATTGGCCATATGCGGATGGACATTCAGGTGCCTACAATTTATACCCACAGAATCTTTTTCTTTTAGAAAGTTTCTTTAAATATTCGAAGGTCATTTTTTAAACTATTCACACCGTCCATTTTTGTGGTTTACCAATGGACTGAAAGGATCATAATGAAAAAAACAAATATAGGATACCCCAACTATTGAAAGAGGCTGGAAATTGTCCGACCTTTCCAAACAGAAGAGAAAAATTGAAATACGGTCTTATGCTCTGCACATCCTTTGATTTGTCTGTGTAGAACTTTTTAGGGATCAGCAAGCGCATACAAAGAGCATTACTACTGCAGCAGACCCACCTTTCAGTTACAGTACAATGTAGTTAATAGCCTGCACATACTTTCCGCATTCTCTGTTATTCCCCTATTCATTAATAGGACCAAACAGAGAGCTTTAATCTCAGTCCAAACAAGTCCAATTCTTCGAAATGGAAAAGCCATCTATCTGAAAGCCTACAGGAAGGCTTTTTTTCCAACAAGGGCAATGGAGAATGCATTCACAGAACGGTACAGCCCAGTCAGCTCAAAGTAGGACTGCAGCACCGCTTGGCCCAGTGTGGGCACAGCTCCTAGACTAGGTAGCCTGTTCCTCTAACATAAGTAAAAGGGATAGGGGTAGAATGGGTTGAGTCATGTTCTGATTTAGTTTGTTAAATATAGTTATCCTTTAAAGTGATTGTAAATGCCCATTTTTTTTATAATATATTTTTTAAATAACAGGTTTATATTTACCTGCTCTGTGCAACTGAATTACATAGGGCGGCTCTTCTCGGTTGCCCCGCATGTGCTCCTCCTATGGGAGCACTCGCACGGGCTCACTTCAGAGCCCCGCTGTCTGCGTCTATAGACTCGGTTCCACCCCCCTCCCTCATCACTGGCTTTGGTTGGCAGCAGTGGGAGGCAATGGCTCCCGCTGACTCAACAAAGCCACTGAGACCAGGAAGTGAGTGGAGAGAAAAGCTACAGATGGGCACAGGGCTGGATCAAATGAGGGCTTAGGTAAGTTAAAGGGGTGTGAGGTGGTGATATAAGGAATGCATTTAAGGCTGAACTCCATGTTCAACCCCTCTAGCTAGATAGGATTTTTTGTCTGTGAGTCAGAGGCGTGTTAGAAGCTTGGGATGAGTCAGCCTGGGAGTGAGGCAGTGAGGTTACCTCAGTAGCGCTAGGAGGCTCTACAGGTCAGGGCTTCTGGAGCCCTCCCACAGTTCTAGAAATTGCTGGAACTTTATAGAAGAGGGGCAGAGGAAGGGAGGAGGCCTGGATTTGCATTTTTGAGGGAACCTGGCCAATCCCCAGGCAGGAGGCCTGGCATGGTGGCTAGGACAGCCCATAAATATGGATGAGCCTGCACAGCAGGGGAGTCAGGTGAAAGATGGAGTGAAGGAAGGCGCTAGTGTGTGCAGCCTGGGAGGGGGCCCCAATGGAGGAGGGGCCTACCTACAGGCTAAAGCTGGACAAAAGACTCTCCACTGTCCCACAGTCTACTGGGAAAGACAGCCTGTCAGGAAGGAAGGAGCCAGCCCAGCGTAAGGCCTGAAAGCAGATGCAACTGACTAAGTTACAGGAAAAGGACAGTGTGAGGACTTCTACACACCCTGGGCCAAAGAAGGAAGAGGGCAGTCAGGTACAATACCCGACTAGTTCTCGCTGGGAATACTTCACTGTAGATCTTGGAATCCCTTGCTCAGGGACACTCTCAAGATAGCCAGGTGGATGAGGAGATTTTCATCTGGGGACTGAGGTTCACCAAAGGGGACTCAGTGCTCCTTCCTAAGACTGTAAATGATTTTTGACCATTCTAGTTAAGAAGTCATCCTCAAAGTTGTACAGTTCCTTGGGCATCCCTAGACCCCATCCAAGTTGTGAAACCCTAATAAAAACAAAAACACCAAACTCAAGGACTGTTTTACTGACTTTAGATGAGAGTGGTGGCAGATGCATGTTGCCTAGCTGTGCAGAGCATACGGGAGGACCCAAAAACTCAGCGGCCCTCAAGAGCTAAATGCGCAGATCAACTACATATATGGGAGCCTTTGCAATTCTGAGATTTAAAAAGCTGTGCCACACAGCACAGCTATGTCTGACAGGACAGGAGACCTGATTTCTCTCTGCTGTGGTTCAGTGACACTTACAGGTCTTGTCCATTCCCCAGCCTGTGAATGGACAGTGAATGGAGAAGCAGTAGACTCATTTAATCATTGCTATGCTCTCTCCGCTTGTCAACATGTTCCTTGCACTGCAGAGCAGCTGATTGGCTCCTTGTGCTGCTTCTTCCACCCCCTGCTATCCAGGGGACTGGCTAATAGCAAGTCAAATTCAGGTATTTACACAGCTTGAATTAAATAATACATGTAAGGATGTATTAAAGAGTACAAAACTGAATTAATTAGTATATTTTATATCTGTCTAGAGTTCAGCTTTAAATTCTATGCTTGCAGTGGGTCTTGTTGATACAGGCCGGCCAGTGTGCCTCTGGAAGCTGTAACATCTATGATGACCCTCCGAGAACACAATCCAAATCGCTTCCAGTAAAACAAACTATTCCTTTCAGGCAGGCGTGGAGAGATGCTGCGAAAGCACAAGCCGACACACAAACCCCGCTTTGTTCCCTAGAGGAAAAGCTGCTGTGAAAACCGCAGAAACATGCGATTCCACAGTGCCGTATAAAACAGCAAACCTGCCCTTGAAGTTAAACAGAACTGGAGGGACCAATTAACTGTGTGTGTGTGTGTGCGGCCGCCCATATCTGCTACATACCGCTATGCCGGAGGCACCCTGTTGTGTGGATTAAAAGCAAAAAAGGATTTATTATGAATAGTGAATGCTAAGAAGAACTCCATCAAGGCCTTTCCTAGTTCCAGTTGCCCATATGACACAACCCCCTACGTAGTTTTTATAGAAGATTTGTCCTCAATTCTTTAACCCCCAAATACAGTTACGGCTTGTATCAACAGGCTTGTGTTCACGTCAGAACTGCTTCTCTCCCTATACAAGTCAATGAGAACCCTAAAGCAGCTTGAAGCAGGGTGATGCAGCTTAGGAGGTCAACAGTGGGTTAAAAAGAAGTCAATGAATGCACCTGTCATGGACTCTGAGGACCAATACGTACTTTTCCGCTTTGGTGAGTTATGGTAGCACGTTTCAACATACATTAGGTGCGTAAACTTGTTATGTGCCATTCACTTGGAATAGCATCCTGATGCACTTAGGCAATACAGCTCCAACACAATGTAGCTCACCAGCTTGTATTATGGTGCGCTGCATTACCAAAAATGGTGCATATCCATTTTCTTGAATGTTTTTGGTTTGTTGCCAGTCGTTCCCAGATTATTAAATAGGCAAAGTAGGCACAGACCTATGAGCCCCATGTTGTTTATGGGCCCTGCGACAATTAATTAAAATATTATGGATTTGCTCTTGAAAGAAAATTTCAATGAAGATTTCTTAAAGAAGAAATCTAGGAAAAAAGTATTATTTTCCCATGCAGTGGGGCTGTGCCCACCCTGCATGGATTAAATACTTGTTTTTGTCTAGGGGCTCAGAAAGCAAAAATATACTTACCTATTCCGCTGTTCCCCTGAGAGCAAGACTGGTCCCTGTAGCTCCTGTTCCCCCCCACACGTTAGAGGTCTTGTGAATGGGCTGTTCCTGACGTCTTCATGCCCATAGAGTGGATCTGGGCGTGAGGACGGCAGGAAAAGTACACAGCTGGACATGGGGGAGCGCAGTTTTCTGGAGGATCGGAGGATTGGGTAAGTACAGTTTTTACATGAGCCTCTGGAAAAAAACGAGCACTTAACCAATGCAGTACACATCCCCACTGCATGGGGAAATAAAATTTTTAACCGGAATTCTGCTCTAAATTGATAGAAAAAAATGAATGAATTCAAATATATTAAATTAAAACTTTACATTAAAGACCTTAGAGCCCTGGCACCCAACTTGCGGCCCTAGGGCTGCATGCGCCACGTTGATGTGTGGCCCTCGGACCTCAGCAGCCTGCGGTGGGAACATTGATTAGCGTAACAGCATTGATCTCTACTAGCCTCATGTAACATGTTCCCAGTTTCATATTGACTTCCGCAACACACATCCCCAGCCAACAATGTAGCATATCCACACTCTCTAAACCTCGTTTCCTCTATTGAGTCTATGTCTACAGTTTCTGACAGTCCTCTCAAGCATTACATATATTGAACTTATGTGTGGCCCTTTG